GATTGTGTGCATAAATCAGAAAACGTCAGCTGTGTTTTCCCTTAATAATTATCCTTACAGCAATATATTACAGTTTAGATGACTATTATAATGTTGCTTTAGGTTTATAAAACACAAGTTAGTTATTTGTAAAGTTTTCTGCTGATGGAATAATTTACGTATCCAGAATAACAATGTTTTTTTGGTGTTAACATTTTATATGAGAAGATCAGTATGGAAATAAGCATTCTATACTTTTTATACAGTCCTTCAAAGAGGTCAGCTTTTTTATTGCAACTTTAATAAAGGAGATCACTTCTATGTTATGACCAACATTTTCAAAAGAGATAGCTAATGTGGTAAACATTGTGTCATGTGTGGGACTTGATGTCTTTTGGCATTTTTGATCCAAAATTTGAGACTTTTCTTGCTGAATCCTTACAGGACATAGGTAGAGATCTACTATAGGTCCCAAACAATTTTGGCCATTTGTCATTGGATGCTACCTCCTTAACAATAACTAATTGAATTATTGGAGGGAGCTACTACATCCTTCAGAATTTAGGCCAGGTTGTTTCATTTCAAGCAAAATCTTAAGTCCAAATATATTTAATATACATATTTTCAAATTTGGCTGCATAGACATCAGAAAACTAAGACAAAACATACTCTGTAAGAACCTTTTTCCTCTAGTATAAAGAAGAAAACAGGAGGAGAAAAAGGAATTTGTTTTAGCATTAGCGTCAATAGTACATACAAACCGTATAGGTAAGAGCTGTTCCATCTTTCAGTTCTTTATGTTTAATACACAGAGGACATTTGACAGTGAAAATATGAGATTTGCTTTCACAAATATTTGGGAAAAAGTCAAGCTTTCTGGAAGATTTTCTAAAACCACGTGGAAGCAATGAATTCCAAGAATTCAGCAATTCTACTTACCTAAAAACTTCTTTCATGAAGGAGAGGTGGTATTTTAAGTCAGGCTTTTGATTTGGTAGTGTATTACACTAGGATAGGAGATTTACTCAGCTTCAGTGATGCATGCTGCCTTAGAACAGGCCTTATGCTGTTGTGAGATCAAAAGATTTTATTTCACCACTATCTCAAAATGTGTGTAATACTAACACTTTTGAAAGTCTCATGTGAAGTATTTTAGGATAGAGTTAAAGTAGCAGGATATGGCTTAGTGTGATCCCACTCTCGTTTGACTGGATGGAAGATTTAAGGTTGATTTTGATGGAAGTGGAATCACTTTTAATCTGTGCTGTATCACAGAATGCACAAATTTGAGTTATGGTGGTCTTTTCAAAACTTGGACCCTTAGGTCTCTCATGCCAGAGCAAAGGCAGCAATACTTCTGTGTCTTAGGGTGAAACCAGGCAATAGACTGCTTTTGGTTTCTGAGTTACTTCTGCAAAGTTTCGTGTTTGACCCAAGAGGCCAAATCAAGAATTGCTTTTCAAATGACTACATCAAGCAAAGAGGACTTTTCTATTCAAGAGAAAAACGTATAGATGAAAGCTAAGCCAAGGAATGTTCAGAGATGTATTTTAAAAAGTACATCTTCACTTTTGCCAGAATCCTAGGTTTTTAGTTAAAACTAGAGTGATTCTTTACTTATATTCTCCAGTTATGTGAGCTAGCTTGTTACTTCAACTAATGTTTGTGAGACTTGGTAGTTGCTGACTTTCCTTAAACTGTTAGAATATGATGAAGTTTACATCATGATAGTATTAATATTATCACTTAAGATAACTGAAAATACAAAATTATGAGTACACAGTCATTGTTTCCAAAGCTTGCAGCTTATTTTATTAATGAGAATAGATTGCAGTAAGAAAAAAAAAAAAGTCATATATTTGTGGTTGTGGGAGGAAAAGCTTTTCAAGTTGTTCATTAGTCTTCCTTCTTCCTCAATCTTCATACTCTCCTCATTCATCTTTCTAATTTCTGGTTAGATGTTCCACCAGTATGCTGTGTGTGATGCCACAGGTATTTGTGGATATCCAGTGTACATCTCCCTTTTTAACTAGTTGTCATGTAGTTTTAGTTAAGGCCTCATATGATAAATAAACCTTTTATTTGTATATAAAAATTTATTCTCCACTCTTGATTTTTGGTTTGTTTTAAAACCTCATTATTTGCTCCTTAGAGTCAGACCAGTGAAGTATTATGCATCAAACATACTTCCCTGTGCAAGCTGTTTATATGAATCCATTTTATAGGAGGGATAATAGAATGAGCTAAATTTTGCTACTGATTTACTGCGTAAGAATTGTAAAGCTCACCATAATCATGGTCTAGAGAACTTTAATAATTTCCCAGATGAAATACTTCTTCAAAGTATTCTCCTGCACACACATATTGGTAGCCTTGCTTATAAACTTGACATTCTTTCAGGTGATCTGTAAATGTCACCTGCAAGCTGATACTCAGAGCCGTGAAGTGGAATCTATACACCTGTAGCTATGCTTGTATTTGGTATTACAGACTCCTTGTTCTCTTTTCTCTGAGCAGATCCAACATACGGTTTTGGATGATTGTCAAGTTCTAGCTACAAAACAGTGGGTGTGATCAATATTTGCTCGCTCTCTTGTTCAGTATATATGCAGTAACAGATGACATATTACTACGAGGTCATCTTCCTTCAGGAGTTTGCATCTGGCTCAGTTTTTAGTTCATTTTTTCCTAACGGTGAAGTTATTTGCTCTCCAATTGCTGTACCTTGGATGAGAGCTATTTTGCTGAAAGTAGCTGAGAAAGATATTGTCCAGAAAAATTTCTCAGAAACGGTAGAAATCTATCTTCTTGCTAAATGAATTGGTACAACATTTATTATTTGAGTCTATAAAAATTGTTCCAGTTTTTGTTCTGGGTTATCTATTAATTTCTGCATTGGATTTATAGCTGAGGTGGAATATTTGTGTGTAAGGCTACGTGATCACAGCATTTTCTTTAGAAATGGGACACTTTTGTTGCCTTTCAGCTGCTTAAATAGTATGGACTCTATAGACGAAGAAGAAATACCAGCTGAACTTACTCTTTGCAGTGTGTCCTATATAAGCATTAATTATTTTAGCTTGTATGATATGGAGAAGTTTTGGTTGTATTTGATAAAAATCTTGTGTCCTTTGGATCCTTTCTCATTGCTATGTGCTTTATAACACAAGGTTAAGAGAAAAGAACTGTGTGGTGCTCAGATTTTCTGAAGCTGTGCTGAGATGCTTGTGGCACAGGCTTGTAAAACATTGACTTTCCTCTTTTGGAGCTTGGAGCAGTATTCAAATAGTGTTTCCTTTTGGTCTATCTTCCTGGAGGAAAATGGAGGAGAGGTTTGATTTTGCTCACACAGATACTTTCATTTTAGTACTAATGAATCATGAACTCTTTGATAATTAGTAGTGTTGTTTGGATTTCTTTTGTGTATTTTAAATGTTGTAGAGCTTCCCTGTTCTTCTGATGTAATCCCTTTGAGTTTTTGAGTAGGATTTTGAAATACATACATACAAAAGGCAGCTGACTGTGATATAAGCAAATAAAAAATACCAGATTTATTACACTGAAAAGTGTAAATATTATATTTAATAAATATTACATATTTATTACCAGAAAAAATACCATGGGATAAGATTTACTACATAAGACATGCATCATTTCTTATAAGGGAGAGAAAAGATTGCAACAGTTTCAAATGTAGCTTTGTTCATTTCTCCTGCTGAGAAATGTGTTGTTAAAGCATTCAAACTTGTTAAACAGTCTATGCTTTTATTTTAAAATAATGATATTTTAATGTTAATTGGACAAGCTAAAATATCTTGTTAGGTCATTTACAAATATCTAATTATTTCCTTTCCAGTAATGATTTTGTAACCTCAAATTGAATGTAATTATAAAAATAAAGAATCAATGCACAAAAGAAATAACAATAGGTAACTTTTATTGCATTAATTAAACTGTCTTTAAGATGTGGACTTGAAAATTAATTCAGATGTTAAAGACTATGAAAGCAATATGACCAAATAACAGTGCACAGATTTTTCTTTAAAGCTATTGCATGAAGTGCCTGACAATCCTAGCTTCAAGGTTGTTGGCAATAGTTACATCTGCAACTTATATTTCTTTTACACCCATATGGCAAATTATGCCTCCAAGAGATAGGTTTTGGTATTGGAGAAAGGTGCTGCAAAGAACAGAGGTAACCTAAAAGCCTCCTGTATTTATGAGCGTCAAGAGAATACAAAAATCCTCTGGATGGTGCAGATGATCAGAGAATTCATTTGCAGGTATTTTCACACTGACTTTGCACAGATGCAAATTTCTGTACTCCCCAGCATCTTCTGAACCAGTTTTACTGCCTGTGTGGGAGCAGAAAAGGATCAGCACTCTGGAGTAATGGAATCAGTCACACATTCAATAATAATTAACAGAATACAGCAAAGTTTTATTTCATTTATTGTCACAAAATTGTTGGCTTCATATTACTTTTAGAAATACTGGTGAGCTCTAATCTGGAGAAAAACATAAAGTGGTTGAAGTGTCTATAAACATTAATTAATCTTTTCAGTTTCTGTTATGTTTTAATAATCAAAGATGAATTAAATGATTGGTTTGTTCCAAAAACACTTCTTTTATTGGAACAGAATTTATAACTTTTATTATGATTCTAAAATGCATGTTCAGGTTTCTGTTCTCCCTTGTGTGCGTATAGAAGCTTTGTAGTCTTGCATAGCAATAAAGGAAAAAACTTTTTTTTTTTCAAAGAAGAAAAAACTTTAAATTCCATACATTTCATTATGGAACATTTATAAGATGATTTCCATGGCAACCATATAATAAGATTTACATTTACTTTGTTTCTGAGTTCTCAATGTCTTTTTAATGATGCCTGTGTAATTAAAACACAGTGCATACCTTGAGGTTATGTAATGTAAAACAGTTTTGTTTGAATGATGGTGAATAATGTTCATATATGTAAAATATACTGTTTAAGAGCATTATGTGGATTTGTCCATTTGTTGCAGAACTGTGAGAAACTAGAAAATAATTTTGATGACATCAAGCACACGACTCTTAGTGAGCGAGGAGCACTTCGAGAAGCAATGAGGTAAGTCTGGGTCACCATAGCAACAGTCACAGATGTGGTAAAGAAAGAGTCATTCTTCATTATTGGGGGAACAAATGAGTTCATTGCCACCATTCAGCTCTATTCTCTAAGGTATTAATTTGTCAGTGGAGAGGCTTCCCTTGAGGCTGTACTTTGGTTTTGAAGCTGCATAAATGTTAAGCCTGACTGCACAGTAAAAAACGTAAATGTTTAATTTGTTATTTAAAATGCTTAAGGGGTGCCTTGCTTTATATTTATACTAAACTGTGAGAGAATGAAAATATTGTTCTTCTAAATTCTGAAAGTGTTAAAGCAATTGTGCAATGGCGTTTGAACAGACCTGTGTTTGCTTTTAAATTGGATTTGATTTTTATGTATGCAGTTCCTCTCTACTCTGATTTTTGTCACCAGATTTACATGATTTTGGTTTTGTTAATGGAATGTTAAAATCTGTCTGATCCTTCAGATATTGTAGAGATATATATTCTGCTTAATGTCATTATATCATTGCACTTACTGCTTACTAAAGGAGGTTAAAATTAGTACATGAATCTTCTGTTGTCCTTTCTTGCACTGTAGAGTATCTGCATAGAGAACTTTTGGGGAAACTTGCCAGCTGTAGTACCTGAAAAAGAGAATGTTAACTATGCTGAAAGGTGGTGGAATCAAAGACAGTTTCTCTAAAGTAGCTCACTGAATAATCAGGAAGATATTAATTATAGTATTATCTATGGATCAGAGAATTATGGTAACTTATACTTTTAAAGGTTCTGAAAGTTGGATAGTAAAATGTAATGATACAAACATAGTGCTGCTTCATTTCGCTTGCCTGATGTTGGAGTAACTTCCTAGACCTGCACAAGTGCAGGAAAAAAGTGTAGAAGAAGGAAAAAAAAAAATTGAGAATCTTCTAGAAGAACTAATTACACCCATTTTCTTTGATTGTGTTCATAATCCCTTTAAGTTTACAGATGTGTGTGAAAGACTTCATTTGCATGACTGATTTTATGTTCGTGGTGCTCTTATGCACGCTGCTTTGCATCGGTGTTTGTAAAGGTGTTGTGACTTGAAATGCAAGCTGCCTCTTTGGAAGCCTTTCTTATTACCTCTGAATTATGTTGTTTCCTTTCTGAATATTTCAACTACTACTGTTGAAAATAACTAAAAATAGTGGCATTCACCTTTCTGATTTGACTTTTTTGCTTTTTGCTTGTTTTGCTTCATACAAATAGGGTTTTCTACCTATGTGGTCAGTCATTTGTGAACATAAATCTTTTATGTGGTGCCAGGAAATGCAGTGATTTAAAATAATGATTTGGGGAACTTTTGGCAGGTGAAGCTGCTTTTAGTAGTTTCAACAAATTGAATTTCAAGTTGCTGTACTCCTGCAACAACATTCCATGGGTAGGTTTGTGGTGTTTTGTGATACGTGACTCAGCAGAGTTAATCTTTTAAAAACTTGGGAGCTGACAGCTCTTTGGTGATAAACATTCGCTAGCAAAGGGAGCTTTGGCATTTCAAAGGTCACGTTTCTGTTACAAGGACTGTGTTAGAAGATTCTCTTGATTCTATGCTATGCATACAATAAAAAGCACTTTACTATCTCATAAATTTGTATCCTGGCTATTTCTGTTAGTGTACAAGCCATTCTGAGAAGTGTTATTGATTATGATGTGTGACAAATATTGTTCAGTGCTGGTATTTTCTTAATTGAAGTCAATATTATATGGTTGATTTTTTTCCTAGTTGTTTTTATGGAGGTAAAGAAAATACCTCGATTAAGACTGTAGTTTGTTTTTTATAATGTATTTGAGTAACACATGAAAGGTGCAAAATGTTAATTTAGAGAGGTTTATGCGTGTAGATGTATGTATTTTCTAAATGTGAGTAAAAGACACTTGTTTTTTAGACTATGGTTCTTTCAGCTGCTACATAGTCACCCCATACCCTTGGTGGCTGCATTTTTCCATTTGGATCCCAAGATTGTGTAGCATATGTAATTCAAATGGTACATTTTAACAGATTAAAGTTTGCTTTGCTTTCCCATAGCTGTAGTAGACGTTGGACCAGGTGTGGGATGACAGACTTGCTGGTCCAAGTAGTGGGAGATACCTGCCTCCTTTTGGTAAGGGAAGCACGTGGAGAGGGTTGCACACTGCACAAAGGCACTAAAATCATGTGGGCATGAAAACAACAACAAAAAAATCCTAGTTGGATAGCAAAGTGGATATATGTGGATCTCAGATGAGCCTTAGGTTGTGTGGGCAGTCTGCCCAAATTCTCTCTGATTTCCCAGAGTGGTACTATTGGTCTGCCAGATGAGAGATATAATGAACGTTTTTCCCCAGTGCTCCTGTTTGGAACAAGACCTTCCATTTTAACTTTCTCTTTGAGAAAAATGGTCAATTTAATATGGGTTTCAGTACTTTTCTAGTCTATGAATATCACTGTACTCTGCATAAACAAACACTAATATCCAAGAAGAGTCTTGTTCTTTTTCCAGCTCTTCAGAAACTGAGTGGTATTCAAATTAAGGATTACATGAAAATCAGCTTTCTTGTTTATGTATGTAGATGTATGCAAAATAAACTTTCTGAAGGGTTTTAAAATGATCATAAAGCATATGAACTTTTTCTAGTTGTACTTTACATATTATTTTAGACCTTGAATGAGATAATGAGCTGATAGTAGTTTGCCATTACTGTGTGTATAAAGAGTGGTATTGTAAGAATTTGGTTTACTTATGATTGCTCATAAGATCATAAAGCATTCAATTCAGTTAATGTTTTGCTTATTTTGTTAATGTACTCCAAATGGTTTATTTATTATTATATTTTAATGTAACTGCAAAGCCTAAGCAAACAATAAAAATACATTAGTTTTTTGGATTTGGGGTTTATATATGGGCAGACTATTGCTTTACATACCTTGAATGTGTATACGATAATTTAACTAGGTATTTTATGTAGTAACTTGGCAGAAAAATAGCGTAGTCATATATCTATAATGTCAGGTTGCATAAGTGAGAGCATTAAGCTTTTGTTAAACAGGGCTCAATTTGTTCTTAATATGTAATCACTGTAAAAATATCTGAATCCTGATCTTCGGTAAAGTGTCATCTAGAAATTTAAAGGAGCTTTTAGACTGATTTGGCTCCTACAAAGAGAGGAGTATTTGAGGAGGAGGAAGTAGTGTAGCTACCTGTATGTTAACCCTGACAGTCTTTTCATAGGTGGTAAAACCAGAATGTGGACAACTGTGGTAACTATTTCTCTCGGGAAGCAGGGTAAAGTAGCCTTGAGGAGTCTTAAAACCAAAAAAAAATTAGGAAAAAAACAAATGCCATGAAAACCCAGCCAAATGGTTAAGTAACTTTTTGTAGAAGTGTGGAAGAAATCCCAAACCAATTCTTAACATCAGTGTAGAATAAGATACGGTTTAGGGAGGTACTGGGTTTAGCAAGGTGAAGGACAAACTTCAGGAAGCAAAAGGCATCATCTGGAAGGAAGGGAATTTTTTTTCCAGTGAATCCATTCACTGACTTCGTGCACAGGCATTCATCGTTGCTATCAGGAGAGAGAATAACAGAATTGCTTGAAGATGGAAGGGGCTGTTGGAGGTGATCTAGGGCTCAGGGCTGTGTCCAGCCAGGTTTTGTATATCTCCAAGGACAGAGACTTCACAGATCCTCTAGGCAAAAGTCCTCACAACAAACTACAAAAAAAAAACAAAAAGAAAAATCCAGCAAAAAACCCCCTCATCCTCATAATTTTCCTTTTCTTTTTTTTTTTTCCTTACTGAAATTCCTTTTTTTTCATCTTGTGCCTGTTTTTACTTAACCTTTTGCTGGCCACCACTAAGAAGTCTGGCTCTGTTGTTTTTATTCCCTCCCATCAGTTATTTATACATATTGATAAGAACCCCCCTGAGCCTTCTCTACTAGAGGCTGAATGTCCCCAGCTCTCACAGCCTCTCTTGATGTAGCAGGCACTCCAGTCCCTAAATCACATCAGTGGCCCTTAGCTGGGCTCGTTCTGGTATGTCTGTGCCTCTTCTGTCCTGGGGAGCCCAGCCCACGACACAGCACTCCAAGTGTGTGTCTAATCAGTGCTGAACAGTAGAGACAGATCTCTTCTCTTGTCCTGCCAGTGACGCTCTACCTAACACAGCTCAGGGTGCCATTGGCCTTTTCTGCAAGGCCTGGGTCATGTTCAGCTTGTCCTCCAGGACCACCAGGGCTTTTTCTTCAAAGCTGCTGCAACAGGTTGGCTCCAGCCCATATGGGTGCCTGGGCTTGTTCCTCCCCAGGGGCAGGACTCTTGTATTGCCTTTTTTTTTTTTTTTTTTTTCTCCCTTCTACTCTGAACTCCTAACTTCATGAGATTTCTGTAGGCCCATTCATCCAACCTGTCAAGGACAGGATCCTGACACCAGGATCTCATGAACCTGGTGTCAGACAAAGAACACTATAGTGTTTAAGATCTGAATTGAATGTTGCAATTGTTTACTTACCAGTTGAGTTTGGTAAGCCACCATAGTGGCTTATGGCGTTGAGCAATCAGTTAGCAAGACTGTTGAGATGTTAAATACACTAATGGGTCCTACCTGGAGGTGAGTATGTGCATGTTCTAGCTTGTAAACGTTGACTGAGTTATATTCATGAAAGCTTTGTAAATTAAAATTAAATCTCAGGGTTTTTTTGTATAGACTTCTTGTTAATAAAGGAAGATTTGAACATAATTCTCCATACTTTGAAGTGGGAAAGGACAGAGAAAGTTTACCTGTTTGGATCAGTATGAAAAGACACCAAACTTCATTTGGAATTTTCTTTTGCATTCACATATTTGTATATAGTTTTGGATAATGTGAACATGGGAGTGAGGCTTCAACTGTGGTTTCCAGTTTGATAGAAACAGTTTCTGTTAATGATGATATTCACCGTTGTCTTGACAACAGTATAAGCTGGAGTTAGTAATAATCAAGATTCTTTAATATGGTCTAGACTCTCAGATGTATTTGACAAATGGTTTCTATGACTGGGGAAAAGCCAAGAAAATTGCATTGTAAGAAATTTCATGATTTCACAAGTGTTCATTAGTTTGCAGAGTAAAAGCTGGGATTTAAAAAGATGTGAACAAAGCAAGTCTGCAGCACAGCCTACAAAATATTTAGTAACTATCTTGTGAGGGCTCTGGGCTGAGATATGGCAAATATAGGTTCATATTCTGGTTTTGAGTCAGGAAACTTGGATCTCCAACTTTGAAAAGCCACATCATGGAGCTGTAGAATTAAATGCAGGAAATACAAGGAAAATGAGAAAAAAATGAAAAATGGCATGTTAAAAGTATGCCTGCTTTCCTGTATTGTTCTTAAGATGTTCTGAGAGATGAGACCAAGCTTAGGTAAGTTGAAAGGGAAGGCGAATGAGGAGGAGAGAGGATAATTGCTTCTGAGTTCCTGATCAAGGTCTCAAGATCATCTTTTCAAATAAATCCTTCGTATTCTGAGAAGGTGGAAGCCTTTGGAGTGAATTGCAGTGATCCAAAGTAGCCACTAGACTTTTGATTAGTGTGCTTATTTGGGACAGAGGGAGTGAGTTCAAATTTCTGGTACCTCCTTTTATCTTTACATTTCTCTCCAGTGCAATCATTTGAATGCTGCTTAAGGCCATGTTTTTAGGGGAGAAATAAGTGATTGCTTCTTATGTATTTAAAATAAAAAAAAAAAAAAAAGCGTGCTGCTTCCAAAGTGCAACAACATTGTCTTCTTGGATGCCCAGTGCATCTTGCTCTTGTGTCTCATCAACAACAATCAAAGTCTCTCACCTCAGAGGACATACTAATAACATAAACTGCTTTCATATATAGGCTTATTCATTTAGACCTTTACTTAGACTGCGTGTGGCTTAGAGATATTCCTTAAAAAAATCAAAACCCAGAAAAACCTGTGGAGATGTTCTCACACTGAAAACAAACTGGGCCACAAAAACATGGAATTTAAGGAATAGACCATGCTTTCCTTAGAATTTCCTTTCTAGATATATCTTGACAATTTTATAAATTTACAATACTATTAATAGGATATGGATATAAGCAGATCCTGCAGAATACTAGTGTTGCTAATTACAATTGGTGTTATATACAAATACATATAGAATATTAGAAGCACTTGAGAACTTTTAGTAGTACTTCTATAGTAAAAGACCTATGTGACTAATAGACATGAATTTAATTTTGGTTTGAGTGCCCCTTTGAGATCAGAACTTCACTAGCATCCTTAGTGTACATTACAGGTCAAACTGTCAGCCTCACTTGCATTGACCAAACATTAGCCATGTACCTCCAGAGTGCAGGACAGCCCTGTATAATGACAGCTATGACTGAACAACCAGCTTAGGTGTTAGTAGCTGTTTTGTGGCATTAATGAGGTTCTGTGTTTGTGCAATTTTACCTTGATCTTTGTTAGCAAAATAGCAAACAATACAGTAAAAAGTAGTAGATAAATGTCATTGATTTGGAAAATGCATTACAATTACTACTTTTGTTGATAAACTGAAGCGTGCTTTAGGTAAGATCTTACATGAATGTTTTTGGTAAAATCTTGTGTGTTTTTCATATTCATTCTTGTACATACTGCAGACTTCAGGTCTGCTCTGCGTATGGTAAATGCATTGTTTCTGTCTTAATGTATACAATTAATGTATCCAAAAATATCAGAGGAGAGAACAAAACACACTGTCACTTCAAGGGAGGGAAGCCTGGTTTTGCTTTTGAACCATTTAGTTTTATGATTTCAAGAAAATAATTGGATAACAGTCAAAATTTTTTTAAGTGAACTGCAGGAGATGTTGTCTGATGCTGGTGGTGAAAGAGGTTTTGAAAACCACTGTAGCAGATGGCTTACCACAAAGACTCCAAAGATGGCATGCAGTGGGTGCAGCCACATACCTTTTAGTGACTAACAGCCACTTGTCTACAAACTGTTAAGTGTAGAAAATTATACTAGATTCTTGAGTTCAGTCTTTGGGTTCCCCGTTTGTTACTTTTTAAAATGCAAGGTTTTAAAATACTTCGCAAATTTATTTTTTGCTACCATTAACAGTCAGGAAAAAATGCTCTGGACTGC